AAGAGCCATCACCTGTAAAACTTCAGATACAGAACTATTTATCCATAGACCTTTGAATAGAGGAGTATTATTTATCACAGTAGTTCCCAACATGGGGTCCTCAGATGTTCTTGAACTAAAACTCCTGGAGGTCTTCACTACTAGGTGTGGGTCAATAACCCAGAATGTGAAGCAGAACTGGGGGGAGCCATTAGGGTGAATGTTAGATTTTATATACTGGCTATATAACCAATAGTTATATAGTTTCTACATATAATCTCGGATTATGAGGCTTCCGTTTACATTTTTCTTTTCCCAAGGGTGAAAGGGTATTACCAGTGGTGTAGTGAAGAGAGTGAAAGACTGGGACCTGGATTCGAATCTCACATGCCCCTGGAAACTCACCAGAGGAAGAAGGATGGAACTGGTCAAACCACTCCTTAAATATCTCACTTACTGTACGTCGCTGTAAATCAGTTCTGACTTGACTGCACATAGCACGCACACAGAGGCATGAAAACACCCATCATTAGAAGTGGAGCCATGTAAAAAATAAAAGATGTTTATTTATCCAAACACAAGACTTCCTCAGCTTGGCAAGTTGCCAGATAGCTTGTGTTTGTTTGGGGACAGGCCAGTGGGAGGTAAACATGGACTTTATTTGCAAACAGAACAGCTCAGCCATGCCTATGAAGGAGTGTGTCTCTGGAGAGACAATGTTTTTTTTTTCCAGGTTTAATCGCAGAACTGGTGTCTTGTTCTAAGTTTGAAGTTTTACAGCACTGAATTTGGTGTTTTGCATAATTGTTAAAACAACACATCTCTTCCCCCCCCCCAGCAACAGGACTCCTTAAACGTGACATAAGTAAGGCATCAGAGTAACGGAACCTAGGGTTGATTCACATGCACAGTTCAATACAGCTTATTTGCTTATTTGGTCCCACTTACCACATTTTAGGGGACGTGGTGGTGCTGCAGGTTAAACCGCAGAAGCCTTTGTGTGCTGCAGGGTCAGAAGACCAGCAGTCATAAGATCGAATCCACGCGACAGAGTGAGCGCCCGTCGCTTGTCCCAGCTCTTTGCCAACCTAGTAGTTCGAAAGCATGTAAATGCAAGTAGATAAATAGGTACCACCTCGGTGGGAAGGTAAACAGCATTCCGGGTCTAAGTCTCACTGGCCATGTGACCACGGAAACTGTCTTCGGACAAACGCTGGCTCTA